CCACTCTGGGTGATTGTACTAGTATTATCCAAAAATGTAGCTTTTGAGTTTGCTCAAGTTGTTGATAAATTGAGTCTTAATGAAGAGGACTAAAATCCTGATGTAGGTATTCAGTGTCTTAGCACAGTATCTTTTCATCTAGAGGTAGCTTGAAGTGAAGGGCTGAAGACCAGAAATCCTGAGAAGTGGGAAAAGCCTTCTAGTGTGGGTGATGAGGCCTGATTTCAACTTGAATTTCACTTTTTCCCCTCATCAGGTCTGAGCCTGGGACCACTTACGTGACCTTTCTGAGCCCCAATTTCTGAACCTGTAAGAGGAATAATAATTATTTTGCCCTGAAGGATTATTATGAAGTTTATATTAGATAATATGTCCTATTCACAGGTGTTTGGCACACACAGAAAGAACTGACTTTTCCTAGATGGTTTAGGGTTCATCTTCCCCAAAAATCAATTGTCTGAATCTAACTGACCTTTCTTATGAGATATTAATAATTAAATGGTGTGATTTTCTCATCATTATGACACATCAGAGAAATATTAACCAATTAAAGTAATATGGCTTTCATCATCTCATTTGAGTGGGTGGACTGATAGTTTTCCTCTATTGCGTATAACACTGATATTGTCACATTTACACTTTTTAAAAACCATGGCTTCTGTTTTATATTTTTATGTATTTTGTTTTATGTATTGTATTTTAAAATATAAATATCATTAATATAAAATTTTCTTTTTCCTTTGAATTCCAGTCCTAGAGAAATATTTCTAGTTTTAATATTTCTATTAAAAGGTCACTCCACCCCCTGAAAAATAAAAAAAAACAAACTGTTAAGATATAGATTTCATGTTGTGTTCCTAGCACAATAAAATAAAAAGGATAAAGTATCAAGTCTTTAATTCCTTCACATTAAGAAATTAGAAAAGAGAAAATTAAATGAAAAGTAAGTAGAAGCAAATTATATATATTAAAGGAGAAATTAATTAGAATGTAAAAAATGGGAAAAATTAATTAAACCAATCACAAGTTTTTTGAAGAGATAAACAAAGTGGACTTCTAACTAGATTATGAGAAGAGAAGAAACAGAAATTATAGGTACCAGGAATAAGAAATTCTAAAGAGTTAAAGGACAATAAAGTAATATAATATACACATTTATGTCAGTATTTTTGACAACTTAGATGAAATGGAAAAAATTCCATGAAAGACACATTACCAAGAATAAATAAGTAGTCCCCAAATCCCTATGGTATTAAAGAAATTAGAATTGTAATTACAAACTATTCCTTCTATGAAAATTATAAGCCCAGTACCTTTGCTGTTGAATTTTACCAAATGTTTACAGAGGAAATAATACCAATACCACAAAAACTATTCCAGAAAATAGAGATGGGAATGCTCTCCAGTTCACTCTATGAGGTCAGTATTACTTTGGTATAAAATTAAACACAGTACAAGATAGAATTGGTTTATCTTTTAGAATGAATCAATGTAATTCATAATATTAAACTAAAATGGCAGAAAAATCATTTGACAAAATTTTTGTCAAAGTAGTAAAAGAAATTTATTTTGATACTTTATCCTTTTTATTTTATAGCTAACATCATACACAATAGTGAAAGGCTGAAATTTATAGCTAACATCATACACAATAGTGAAAGGCTGAATATTTCCTCTTAAACTCAGGAGGAACACTTAGATGCATGCTGTCTCTAGTTCTATTCAACACTGAATAGAACTGGAGATTCTAGTCAGTATAACAAGGCAAGAGGGGCTGGGGTAATGGCTCAGTAATAGTGCTCGCCTTGCACATGCAAGGCCCTGGGTTTGATCCCCAGTCCCACATATAAATAAATAAAATAAAGTTATAAAAAAAGGCAAGAAAAAGAAATAAAATCATGTAAAGGGAGAAATAAAAATTTCTTTTTCAATGATTGTGTAAAAAATCTGATAGAATCTACAAAAGATCAGTGAGTTTAACAAGTTAGTTTAGCAAGGTTATAGAGTACAAGAATGAAATGCAAAAATGAAATATGTGCTAGCAACAAACAATGGAGAAAGAAAAAAATGTAAACATGCCATTTGCAATAGCATTAAAATCATGCAATACTTGGGATAAATCTTTGGAAAGATGTGTAAAACCTGAAACTGCAAAATTCTGCCTAAGGATTTTTAGAAAATACTTATTTTTTAGTTTTAGGTGGACATAATATCTTTATTTTACATTTATGTGGTGCTGAGGATCGAACTCAGTGCCTCATGCATGCTAAGTGAGCACTCTACTACTGAGCCACAACCCCAGCCCCCTGTCTAAGGATTTGGAGAAAACAAAACAAAACAAGAAAGATAGATTGTGTTCTTGGATTGGATGAATCAATAGTATTATTATGTCATTTCTCCTCCAGTTGGTCTATAGTTGAAGATCAATGCAATCTCCAACAACATCTCAGCAGATTTTTAAAACATAGAGCTTTTATTAACTACTTCACTATTTTATGTGCTTTTAAAACTGTCCTTCCTTCTGTTTGAATAGTCTTTAGCAAAGATTGGCCAGAGATGGTAGAGAAAAGGAATCATTTTCTATTTTTGAAATGAGTGAGAAAAAAAAGAGGGAAAACTTAAATGTTCATCCCAGGAGTGGAGAGTCTCCATAACAACTTTTACAACTGAAAGACTGTCAATAGTATAGTCCTATGGACAAAGAGTACAAATAGTCCATTTGTGTTTTAGGTGTTCTGTGCAGTACTTACTTTTCCAGTATTAGAGAAATACCAATATATGATGGAACAAAAATCATTTTCTTATTAGTAAGTATTCCATCTATCAGACTTCTTGCAACTTCATCTGTCTCTAATACAGGCCATAATCTGTGATTAAAAAGAAAAAGTTTATTTTCATTTTTAAAAAGATTTATTTATTTAAGTGCTAGGGATTGAGTCCAAGGCCTCACGTGTGGCTAAGCAAGTGCTTTACCACTGAGCTAAACCTCAGGCCCCTAGTTTCAATGTTTTTCATTAATGAAAATAGACTAATTAATAGATCTTTTCACCAAAATTAGAATTAGGTTTTAAAATGTTCCAGGTTCTACCACACAAATGTCACTTCCCTCTTTCCCACACATCTCATGTTGATATTTTGTTAATACAATCTTATATTTTTTCATATCTAGTAGGTGTATTTCTTAGCTCACACAGTAAAAATACCAAAATGACAGAGAAGTCTTAGATGGTAAGGAATAGAGGAGCCAGAGAACAAAGAAGAATATGTTAGTTCTGTGGCCACTGCTGTGGACAGTATAAAACTGGCACATAGCCTTACCTTTCCATACTGTATTTGTGGAGCATGACCCACTATTGGGAAAGGGGATATGAGGTATAATTCAACGTGGAGGTGTGGTTTCCAGGAGAGAAGGCTTTCTCCATTACCTTAAGTGTGCCTCACTAACCCACTCCTCCCCACTCCTGTTCTCTCTTGGCACCCAGGCGTGTATTGACCTTTGTGCTGGACACAAATAAATACCAGTTGCCTAATTAATTGGAATCTGATCACGCCTGCTAGTCCCTAATTTGTTTTAACCCCCTTTATTTGTTTAACTTCAAAGCAAAACTTAAAGGTAATAAAACAATATTTAAAAGGAACCTCCCATTTTCTTAATTAACCAACTTAAAAAGTTTCTCAGATAGTTTTCACATCAATTTCTCATGCCATATTCCCATCCTAACTTGATTTTGACTTTACCTTGTGCTTGGGTTTTTGGTGAACCCAGTATCCACAAAAACTGGGCAGAGACATGAGGTTTTGATACCAGTTTTCCCCAAGGTTTCAAGTTCTGCTGTCAGAGCCCTGTGAAAGCCAACAGCCACAAATTTGCTGGAACTGTAAGAGAATAACCAACCATCATCAGCTAAAAGAGAGCAAGACAGTCAGCTATCTGTAAGAAAGTAGAATCATTTGATTTGAGAACAAGAAATCAAATCCCCCAAATCATCTCCTTGTGATTTTTCTGAGAGGATGAATGGTCATTAAGTTTCATTTACATTTTCATATATGATTAAACAGAATTCTGAATGT